GTGACTGGCCCAAGGTTACCCAGCTGGCTTTGTGCCTAGATGGGACTAGAACTCATGGTCTCCCGGTTTCTAGCCTGATGCCTTAACCACCACACCAAACAGGCTCTCTACATTTTATAACAAGCTATTAATATTTTATTTTACTTACCATTTAAACAATAATATTGGGTATTTTTTATGGAATTCCATATTTTCGATCGGTTGTTAAATCTGATAAGCTTGATTTCCTTTGCATTGGTTTTACATGATTATATTTATTATAGTAATCAGCTGATTTGATTATTTATCTGGTTGCACAATGCAAATGCTTCCAAAAAGTGAGATAGAATTCTTTCAAATTAATATATAAAACATACCTATTTTTTCTAACTATTGCTATGTGTTTTCCAGATTACTTACTGAAAACCACCAAAGATACACAAAGGAGAATGTTCTGAAATTAAAAGTCCTGTTCTTTTGTGATAGAGATATTTTTTAAAAAATGCAAGACTTTCTCCATGTGCCTCTGATATTTTCTAGTAACTAGCTGGCTGTCAGTTAACTGACTCTTCAATAACAGTTGATTGAATGATTGCATCTAAAAAGTGCTTATTAAGAGCATCAAAACAAATCAGGCTTTGTTTTTGGACCTGGGGCTGCTCAACACTTGGATGAAGGAGTTGAGGGAGGGCATATCAAGTCTGTGGATGATGCAAAGCTTGGAGGACTGCTAATGCTTTAGAAGAAAGAGAAGCACAGAAAAAGATCTATACAGCCTTGCGCAGTGGGCTGAAATGAGTGAATTCAAGTTTAACAGGAAGAAAGATAAAGTTCTGAATGTGGGCAAGGAAAATTAAAGACACAAGTATAGGGATAGTATATATAATAGTATATCAGCAGTACTACATGTGAGAAGAACTTGGGTGTCCAAATCAACCACAAGTTAAGCGCAAGCCAGCAGTATAATGCAGCTGCAAAAAAGGAAAATGCCATCAGGAGCATAAGTTTCAGATCATGGTATATAACTTTTGCACTCTACTCTGTCTTGGTAAGACTCCACTTGGAATACTGTTTCAGGCACCAAAGTTCAAAAAGAACAGTGACAATTTGGGGAAAGTTCAGAGGCAGGCTGCCAAAATGGCAAGGAGTCCTGTGAGGAACAGATGAAGACTCTGGACATGTCTAACCCAGAGAAGAGATGACTAAGGGGGAAATATTACAGCAGCCTTCAAATATCTGAAGGGTTGTCGCATATAAGAGGGAGTGGACTTATTGTCTATTGCCACAGACACCAGAAGGTTAAAACTACAAGGAAGTAGGTTCAGGGTAGATGTTAGGAGGAAATTATCAGCCACTAGAACAGACTGCCACATGAAGTGATGAGTCCTCCTTCACTGGAGGTCTTCAAAAAGTGGGTGGATGGTTATCAGACAGAGATGCTGTAGTGGGATTCTGTACTGAAAGGGGTGGCGATTTAGATGAGCTCTTAAATCTCTTCCAACCCTATGATTCCATGGTATCAGATCTGCAGATGACTACAAATTGTTTTGATTTGATTTATATATCTGCCTGTCTTGCCAAGGCAACTCAACATCATTTGTGATGTCTTACCTGAAGCGGAGGCACAGATGCTGCTGTTTCTGCTCTGTTACCCCGAGGAGGCGATTCTACAAACACCGGCAATTTAGTTCTGTTCCCTGTGAGAGGGCCAAAATTGGTGGAAGATGACTTTTTGAAAGCATCATTAAAAATCTGGGGAGAGACTATACATAAGCGGTTGAAGAGAATGAGAGAAAGGTGGAATCTCTCACAAGAGCTTCAAACTGTTGGGAAGAAACCTTCCCTTACCTGTTAAGGTGTCCTGACTTGGATCTTCTTGGGAAACTGCCATTCCCTGAAAGGAACATACCCTTGCCTTGGAGCTTCCAATGACCACCTCCATGAAGGATCCCTGGGACTGAAATAACATCCAAGAGCAAAGAAATGGCATTAAGGTAATTCAAAGAGGTGGATTCTTCCCCTTCACCTCCAACTTCACAACTCAGTATGTTCAACTATGTCAACAGATGATGCTTATTACAATCATTTGACTTTGGGAAGTGGCAATGGAGTAATTTGCCTAAGCAGTTAACTAGTGCTCCTAGATACTTAGCTAACTATAGCTTCTATTAAATAATTAATTATTGCACTCATACTTTAAATCCAGAAAACAAGGGTAGTGAAACACTTAAACACTCAAGAATATTATCTGTTTGGAGCTACCAGCATGAAATGTTCTCACCTGCAGGTCTTCCTGCTTCTTTCCCTCTCCTTGGCTCAAGAGGAAGCCTTCTGCTAGGGCTACTGCCTGGGAGCTGGTCTCTGCTCCACATTCCCTGACCCAGCTTTTCACCTCTGGGGGCAGGATGGCCAGGAAGTGTTCCAGGACCATGAGATCTATCATCTCAGCTTTTGTGCTCCTTTCTGGCTTCAGCCACTGACTGAAAAGGTGGTACAATTGGCTGCACATCTCTCGTGGCCCTGCAACTTCCTCATACTGGAAGTCACTGAAGTGCTGGCACTCATCATGCAGACTGATGGTTTCTTCGACATTATTTTGCCCAGTTCTTCCTCCTCTGATCTCAGGGTGAGCAACACAAGGACCTTTTCCTGCTCCTTCCTCTGGTGAGTACTGTAAGTCCATTTTCTCTGCCTTCTCTGATGCAAGTCGAAATGGAACCAATGTTTCTCCAGGATCCAAAGTTACTTTTCTTGATAGGACCTGAACTACATGAAGAGACCCTGGACAACTCTCAGTCCTCTTTGCTTACAAGTAATTTTCAACTGCAGAAGATGAAATCCATGAAGGGAAAAAAGAGGCTTTCAGGCATGTATCTGGATGGAAGGGAAAATAAATGTCTAGAAATACAGAGAACGGCTGACCAGGATGTTCTCCTTTAGCCCTTTTGGCTCTTTAATGAAAATCCTCCTCCCCAAATCCTAATGCATCTCTTGTCTTTCTGCCTGAAGGGAAGAAAGATGCAAGCAAGCCATCACCGTGGGGAGAGAGCCTGTATTTAATCCAGCGAAGGCTCCATCCACCCAGGAACTTCAATCACTGAATGGCAGCACCCAACTCTCTCAGAGGTCCTGCCATTCATGCCATGAAAAGTCACCTTAGAAGAGGAACTGGAACATTTTGTGCGGGCAACACAAGAAGGCCGGGCCCCTTCCAAAAATATAACATGGAGGCTACAGATGGAGCACTCCCAATCTGGGCCGGGATCTGGCTAGAAAACCCAACTCTGCCTTCCCAGAGGTCCTGGGACCCAGCCTGGAGCTTGCATGCAAAGTGCTGAGTCGAACTGAATCTGGCCAGGTCATTCCCTCCCGCCTCGTTTGCACTCTTGGATTTCCACGCTTTCCTCCTTGGTAGAAACTTCTCCCCCGCCCCCGTCACCGATTTGCTGCTTCCTCCCCCCCCTACAGATTAGGGAGTGTTTTCTTCATGGGCAAATGGTCTCTTCTCTGATTTCCGTGCATGAGATTTTTCTCGCCCAGAAGAGGCGTGAAAAGAAGCCTCGGGGACTGCATGAGTTGGGGGACGCTTGGGGAGAAGGGACCCCCGCGCTCTGCACCCAAACAGGGCGTGCAATATTAAAGAATACCTCTCGCCGGGTTGAGCGCAGGTTGGCTTTAATGAGAAGAGGCCCCCAGGCACAGCCGCTCCGTCCCTGCCAGAACTTCTTGCAATCTCTTTGGGTCTTGGGATGCTCCGGGTGAGCAAGGACCTCAAGAGGGAAAGCTTTGTCTGCTGCACTCACTTCCGGTCGTTAACGACAACAACGACAACAACAACAAGAAGCCAGGGCTCATGTTCCAGAGGGAAAGCACGTGCTTCCGGCCATGCCAGGCGCATGCTCAGTTCTTTTCTGAAGTTCGGCGGCTGCCAATGCAGAGTGCGCCGCCTAGAGGGTCCTGCGTATAACATTCTGGGACCAGGGAAGCGGTGCCTTTATCTGTGCGGGCGCGGATAGGATGGGAATGGGGAAAAAATCTCCCTCCCAGGGGGAAGGAAGGCAGAGCTTGGAGATGGAGACACGAAAGGGCAGGGAGGCAGCTGCGGAGGGGCAGGGGAAGAGCTTTTGGGCTGCTCCATTTGGGGGCCCTGTGAGGACCGTCGAAGCAACATTTACAGCAGCGTTGTCCAAACTTGGCCACTTTAAGATGAGTGGACTTCAACTCCCAGAATTCCCCAGCCAGCATGGGGAATTCTGGGAGTTG